GGGGGGGGAGGGGGGGAAGCGTGCACATAAATGCTAATGTTAAACCCACAATTAAATCATGAGCAGGTTATGTTATTTCGTGATGTTTTGATGTGAACTGTTTTGAGCACTCTCTATACTCAAATATCACCTAGCTCATCTTCTGTCAGCTTGTAAACCCTTTATTGTTTAAATTAAAATCACATCTTCATTAACCAAAAGGAAATGTCCTCAAACATAGGTTCTCAAACTTCAAAGATGCATAAATTTACTTCTGAAAATCTTTTCTATGACAAGAAGTTTGGGTCAATTAAAGGAAAGTTACTCCCATCTGGCTGTTACATTCTCTCTGATTACCTGGCTAGATGGAACACAAACCCTGGGTAATTCTTTTCCATTCTATACATATAATTTTTTTGAGGGGAGTGAGGGGCAATGCAGGTTGATTCTCCATAAACATAGAGGATTCACATAGTAAACTCTCTGTAACTATCATCTTTTCTAGTTGTGCTCTGCAACTAATGGCAGTGAAGCCACTGTCAACGCTGAGTGGAGGGGGAATGGATCGGCATTTTGCAGGAAGGTAAGTCATGGTGCTATGCAACAGAGATATTTTCAGCTCTGGCTAAATAGTGGAAGTGACTTTCCAGAGCAAAGCAGGTTTTAAAAAATCCTACACCACACAGCAAATACTGGTCATAGCAGAGAGTACAGCTGCTAAAGAGAGCACAGATAAGGAGAGACAGGACACATCACTCCTTATAATTAGTACACCAGGCAGCCAAGAGTTTGCAGAACATAAAAAACTAGTAAGACTGTAGTTTGAGGAAAAACAGTGAGTAACAAGTACTCAAAACAAGAAGTGGTCACTACTCAGCAGGATCCAGTCACAGTGGTGAAGTTGTTCATGACATACTCCCATTTGCTCTCTCCCCCTCCCACTCTTGCCTCCTTATACTTCATATATTCTTTTATGATATTGTTTTTAAAATATAGTTAAAATAATTAAGTAAAAAATAAACACTATACAAATAATTTTATTATAAACTTGTAAATAAGAATGATATAGTTATTTTATTTTTTTATTGATTTTAGAGAGAGAGAAACAGATTTGTTGTTGGCTGCCTCCTACATGTGCCTTGACCAGAGATCAAACCTGCAACCCTGAACCATCGGGACAATGCTCCAACCAACTGAGCTATCTGGCCAGGGCTATATAGTTCTTATTTTAAAGTATGAGTGTAATAAACAAATCCTTTACTTTCTTTCATTCATGTCCTCAAATTCACCAATTTTTACACAACTCAACTGTCAGAGATTTTGCAGGGCAAAGATAAGGAAATAATGCCCCTTAAAACTTCTGCCTTAGAATTTGTTTCTTATGTCTAAGTTTGCTATGTATTAAGCTTAAATATCTTACACTAATGTATGCCACTCAGTGATTCAACTTTTAAAATAATTAATTGACATAGAAAAGTTTAAAATTAATGAATGGCTCTTAAATGGGTAGACAATACATGTGCCTAGAACATTGCTAAAGGGGTAAGAGAGTAATGCTTTAAGAAATAAGGCTCTTAATTAAACATGTTAGCTTAATATGCATAGAGCTACTGAGTATTGATTGTTACTGAATTTATGAGTGTAATAAAGGAAACATAAGCAGCTTGAGGCAAATGTTATGAGTAATATGGTAAAACCATGGATGTGTCATACAAGTGTACTCATTAAAGTTGTGGGAAAAAATGCCGAAAACAATCGACCCAAACAGCTGAATGGTGGTATTTCTGCGGAGAAGGAAAAGGGGGAAGAACTGGTAATTTTTCCTTACAAGTCCTTTTTGTAACTATCTGCCTCCTTCAATTGTACACATGCATCATTTTGATAAACATAAAAACTAAGTTTAAAGAAATCAATGGATAATATAAAACAGTCCATCTTTAATACATAAAAAGTACTGACCATAAGACAACTGAATGGGAAGCTAAATGAAAGAGGAAAGTAAGGCCACCAATGAACTAATCCTACTAATCATGAACCCTAGACAGAGCCAGTAGAACCAGCAGTGTTTTTCAAACTGTGATCATGATCTACAAGAAATTTATTTAATTACACACGTGTGCATGCGCATGCAACAAAGCTAAAATTGGTATTTTCTACTGTATTCACTTTTATTTAAAAAAAAAAATGCACGATTGAACAGATTCGTGAATCACTCTAATTAATTTTAGTGATTATAAAGAGCAAGAAGATTTAGGATCAAATACAAACTTAACTTTAAAAAGAGTTGAGCTTCATTGCTTTGACAAAGGAAACACCAGATGACCATCCAACAATGCTCAAATGATAGATAGCAAAGGCATCACTAATGGCCTCTCCAGCCCACACTGCTTTTTCCCAAAAGCACAGAAGTGCCTTCAAAAGGGCCTGGTCCATCATCAAGCAATATAAAAGTACCATTCAAAGTGCTCCAGGACCCTGAAGGATATGAAAACATACAGGTGCATGTCTGAGTTTCTGAACTAAGAATTCCAAGAGTAAGGAAATTCTCAAGCTAAAGGCAGCAATGGTTAAACAAGGGTTAAGATGGTTAAAAGGTACCTTTCAGCTTAACAATCTGCCTGCCTTTCTCATTTTGCCCTTTCCTCCTTTATCATCATTAGAAGTATTTGGGGGACTGCCAAGGAACAATTAACAGCAAGAACCCAGTGACTGAGGGTTCAATAACTTTTCATTGCACTCATAATAAAATCCAAGTTCCTTACTAGGGCCCTCTAGGCTTTCCCCATCTTCAACTCACAGCACAGCTCTCTGGCCTTTATTACAGAAGTCTATCCATACTGAGATCCTTTCTGTTCTCTGAATATGCCAACTACTTCTAAGCCTGAGCACATTTGCAAATATGGTAAAAACCTTAATATTTAAATCTAGATGGTAGGTATATATGGGCTTTTATTGTTACTCAACTTTTCTGTATGTCCAGTTTTTCCTTAATAGTGTTTTAAAACTGACTAACCTGTGTTTTCGACATAACTGGAGTTCATTTAGAAAATGGACAAAATACACATTATAACTGAAAAAATTCATCTAGTTTTCAAATACAACTAATTTCCCTCTGTCCTGTCAAAAAAAAAA